TCTCACCGTCACAAGGAGAGACTGTAAGGAAAAAAGGTCAGTCATTAATATACCTCCTCCCCATTTTACAGATAGGGATATTGAGACAGGGAGTGGAAGGAACTATGCAAGCAGTCATAATGGCTGAACCAGGAGTAGGGTTAAGGTCTCCTGACGCCAAACTCTTCACCCTGTCTTATGGACCATGCTGCCTCCTAAGGCCTTAATGTTCTAAAGTCCTGTCCATGCTAGCATCAGAACCCTGCTAGCTTCCTGAGCCATACATAGAACAATTCTCATCCCATTGTGGCCAGGGACTGAGTATAAAGCTCAAAGAAACTCTGATGCTTATTAGCAGCTAAAAGTTTCAAAAGGGAACAAGAATAGCACCTTTAAGTCATTTTCTTTCCTTTTGTTGAGGTAAATGTAATCATCCAGGAATAATTTCTCTCTCTAGTCCAAAGTAGTCTGGGCTGTGAGAAGAATTTAGTTATACCAGAAAGCAAGATTAAATCACGTGCCTATTCAAAAGGCAAACCTCCAGAAAAATTGTCTGAAATAGCACAACTAGCTTGTCCATCCCAATGGACTTTGGAGTGGTTTTCCATACATTCTCAACTTCTGAGAATCCCAGAATCTCCATCATTACCCTACCACATCTTTGCAGTCTCATGACACATAACCTGTGTCTTCCAAGCTAAGGACAGTCTGTCCCCACCACTCCTCAATTAACTGAAGGGGAGGGTATTGAGCACAAGGATGTACAGTACTGAGATTTCAGTGGATTTGACTGTGCATACGTTTTTATTAAAAAAAAAAACACCTTCCACAGGCTAAAATTAAGCATAAAAAGGAGAGGATTGTTAAGAAATGCCAAACAGTACTTAAAGTAATAATATTGTAGTCTCGGTCCCTGTTTAGTGATTTTTTAAAAGTGCTGTTAGAACATTCTTTAGTATAAGCCTCCATCGTATCTGTTGGCTGCTTTCTTTCTTGGGCACTTTGGAATACATTTCTAGGATTTTCTTTACAATAATGCAGCCATTTGTCTGACTGAAATCTTCATATTTTATGACTGGCAAATCATCCAAGCAACACATCTAAAAGCAAGTAATGCTTTTACTTTTCAGTCTAAAAGCAAGTAATGCCAACAAATCCCTCAATACTATACTATGCCATAAAAAGTTAAGTCAGCCACACAACCTGTTCCTGTCACACACACACACACACTACAGTGAAAGCTTCTTATGTTGCTGATGCAATCACATACCAAACAACAGAAACAGAAAGGTCACTGTACTTGTTCTCAAGATATTTTCTAGTTACAGGAAACTTTTCTGAGTATGCCAATGTGCAAAAGTAAACATACAAATTAAAACCCTGTGGTGAAACAGAACGATAATAAGATCTGTTTGATGGATAAGATGTTGAGCATGGATTTAAGACAAAGCCAGGATATGGCATAATATGTCTGATGAAGAAAACATCTGTCAAAGGAAAGCTCAAAGAATTTAGGCCCCACCTTTTAGCTATATTAAGAATTGTAATATGATGGTCTGTGTGCTATGGAGTCTAAATAGTTTATTTTAATTCACCACTTTATTATAACGATATTTGTGCTATTTAGTGCTCAGGGAGCAAGAACAACAAAATTAAACAAAATGGCCAATACAAAATTAGGTGAAGTGATCCCTGTATGGTATGTAGAATCCATAAACACACACTGATCTAACAAGGATGAAGGAGGTTACATTGAAAACAAAATATCGTATCACTAGTTAATGCACATCTACAATTGAGTTTTTAAATGCAGAAAAGGGCATTTACTTTCCCCTGGCACCTGCAACAGCCCAAAACAAAAGAACACTGCCTGTATATCTCTACTTCTGGGAAAAGGATGAAAGAACAAACTCATTAGTCATATTGCTTAATCCACTACTGGAAAACACTCAGATCCTATAGTGAGGAGTATGGTACAAGAACCTGCACAGAATTATACTTCTATCTAGCATCTAGAACATGGAGACCTGGGAGATGGGTCAGAAACGGTAGGGAGCATGGGCTATAATGGCAGAGAGAAAGGAGGATCAGGGCAAACCTGGGAGGCAAGGTCAAATCAGTATCTTAGATGCCTATATACAAATGCGAGAAGTATGGGTAATAAGCAGGAAGAACTGGAAGTACCAATAAATAAGTACAATTATGACATTGTTGGCATCACAGAAACTTGGTGGGATAATACACGATTGGAATGTGTGTATGGAAGGGTACAGCTTGCTCAGGAATGATAGACAGGAAAAAAGGGAGGAGGTGTTGCCTTATATATTAAAAAAGAACACACTTGGAGTGAGGTGGAGATGGACATAGGAGACGGAAGTGTTGAGTCTCTCTGGGTTAGGCTAAATGGGATTAAAAACAAGGGTAATGTCATGCTAGGAGTCCACTATAGGCCACCTACTCAGGTGGAAAAAGTGGATGAGGCTTTTTTTAAACAACTCACAATATCATCCAAAGCCCAAGATTTGGTGGTGGTAGAGGACTTCAACTATCCAGATATATGTTGGGAAAATAACACAGCGGGGCACAGACTATCCAATAAGTTCTTGGACTGCATTGGAGACAACTTTTTATTTCAGACGGTTGAAAAAGCTACCGGGGAGAAGCGGTTCTAGATTTGATCCTAACAAATAAGGAGGAACTGGTTGAGAATTTGAAAGTGGAAGGCAGCTTGGGTGAAAGTGATCATGAAATCATAGAGTTCACAATTCTAAGGAAGGGTAGAAGGGAGAACAGCAAAATAGAGACAATGGATTTCAGGAAGGCAGAAAGGTATAACAAGTGGGGTTCCGCAGGGGTCTGTTTTGGGACCGGCTCTCTTCAATATCTTCATCAACGATTTAGATATTGGCATAGAAAGTATGCTTATTAAGATTGCAGATGATACCAAGCTGGGAGGGGTTGCGACTAATCTGGAGGATAGGGTCATAATTAAAAATGATTTGGACAAATTGGAGAAACGGTCTGAGGTAAACAGGATGAAGTTTAATAAAGACAAATGCAAAGTGCTCCACTTAGGAAGGAACAATCAGTTTCACACATACAGAATGGGAAGTGACCGTCTAGGAAGGAGTACGGCAGAAAGGGATCTAGGGATTATAGTGGACCACAAGCTGAATGAGAGTCAGCAGTGTGATGCTGTTGCAAAACAAAAAACAAAAAAAAACCATGATTCTGGGCTGCATTAACAGATGTGTTGTGAGCAAGACATGAGAAGTCATTCTTCCGCTCTACTCTGCACTAGTTAGGCCTCAGTTGGAATATTGTGAGCACCGCATTTCAAGAAAGATGTGGAGAAACTGGAGAGGGTCCAGAGAAGAGCAACAACAATAATTAAAGGTTTAGAGAACATGACCTATGAAGGAAGGCTGAAAGAATTGTGTTTGTTTAGTTTAGAAAAGAGAAGATTGAGGGGGGACATGATGATAGTTTTCAGATGTCTAAAAGGGTGTCATAAGGAGGAGGGAAAAAACTTGTTCATCTTGGCCTCTGGGGACAGAACATGAAGCAATGGGCTTAAACTGCAGCAAGGCAGGTTTAGGTTGGTGGAATCTCCATCTCTGGAGATATTTAAGAGTAGGTTAAGAGATGGTCTATCAGAGATGGTCTAGACAGTATTTGGTCCTGCCATGAGGGCAGGGGACTGGACTCGATGACCCCTCGAGGTCCCTTCCAGTCCTAGTATTCTATGATTGCATAACATTTAAATACCAATGATCAGACAGGGAGTTATGTGTGAACTGTAACACATTCAATACAGCCAAACTAGAGCTGCTGTCAGAACCACACCTGTATGTCCTGCCTTTTATACTATTACATTTCAACCCAGTGTTGTATTTATGTAATTCATTTGCATTAAATTTCCTTTAACTGAAAAAAGTTATAGAAAAAAGAGGCTAACTTGATACAGGGATGTTAAATATAGTGTAATTGAATACTCGTGTAACTGCATTAAATCTTACTATTTACACAACAATTCGATAGTCCCCAGGGATAAGGCTGTTTAAAAAACAGTTCCCTGTGCAGACTGGCTGCCTGCCACTTTGTGCTCCTGCCTCTGATATAGAGGCAGCAGTGCGGGGTGGCAGCAGCCCCTGTTTAGGAGGGGTCGGAGCTCCCGGACCCGGCACGGGCCAGAACTGAGCTGGGCTGCCTACCAGCCCAGTTCCTAATACGTTTTAAATGCAGAACCACAGCAAGGCAGGGGACAGAGCGCACTGGCTGCTGGCCTCACCCCCACGGACTATAGAACAGTCGACAAACCGATAAGAATTCGTGAGGTTACTCGACTGTTGAATTAACCGATATTTAACATCCCTACTTCCTACAGCTCCTACCAACATGAAATCTCAAGTCCACCCTACAGTCTGGTAATATACAAGTACGACCGACTTTCTTCCTCCCCGGGGAGGGGAGGTTTCGTACGCATTTGTCATCACTTGGAACATCAGGCTGAAATTTTCCACGTTCGGTCTCTGCCTCCAGTTGGATTGTTAGGAAAAGTTCAGCCTCTGTCTACAGCCAGCCGTGGACAGCTGCTCCTTCACAGGGCAGAGGAGGGGCAGATGGCACCACGGAGCTAGTGCTGGGGGGAACCAGTTTTTAAGCTGGCTTCCCCAAGCGCGGGCTGCCTGCCTGCCCCCCTTGCTGCCTCAGTAGGAGGCAGCAAGGAGGGGCAGGTGGGTCTGCAGAGCTGATATGCGTGGAGACCCAAAAGCTGGCTCCCTGTGCGTATCAGCTTCAGCCTTCCCCCCTCACTCTCTGCACTGCTGGCTCTCTGTCACAGGCAGCAGCGCAAGGGTGGGAGGACAGGTGGATCTGGTGCTCATGGGGAGCCTAGGCTTATTGGTTAATCCTGTACTCAGTAAATGCTAACATCCCTAATTTGATAGGATATGCTTGGTTGTTTATCTGGAGCACTGCACTTTAGTATGTTAAATGTTATTTGGAAGTAACATACTGCTATTTAGACTTGCCAGGCCCTTTCAGAACACAACACTACTTCCCCACATGCACATTAGGGATGTTAAAAAGTGCTTACTTAAGTTACCATGTAACCACTGAAAATCTACAAAGCTTATACTGAAGAGTCAGCAGCGCAGCTGGCTCCTCAGGAGCATAGCCCCACGCCCAGGGAGCCAGCCGCGATGTGGGCTGTGCAGCATAATCTTTATACTGCAGAGCCCACAGCACAGAGCCAGCTCCCCGGGAGCTGGTGTGCGCTGGAAGCACAGATGACAGTAGGTGCCCTGGGAATGGGGCTGGAAGCCAGCGTGTAACTGTTAATAGTAACCAATAAGCCTAGGCTCATCAGTTAATTTTTTAAATGGTTATACTATTATCTCTCTAATTCACACGCCTCCTCACAACTCATCTCTGACATCCTGATGAGAAGAGAGGGGGATAGGGAACACAAAGAGAAAAAACCCTAGCTAGAATCTGAAAAAAAATCACTTACATGACTCTAGTGAAAACACAAGGGACTAAAGCTAAATCAATGTTTGCAAAATGAGAAGAGAGACTAATAGGATACAGGTTGAACCTCTCTAGTCAGGCAACCTCAGGACCTGACTGGTGCCAAACCAGACAATTTGCCAAAGCAAGGGAGATCAGTATTATAGAGAGTGGGTCAATCTCTCTCTCTTTCTCCCCCCCCCACCAACGTGAATAAATGGAATACTGTACCACTTGCAGTGATGCATAATAATATATGACTGTACTGATGCACTCTATATGAGTCTATGCCTACCCAAGATTTATCAACTTTCTTCATATCAAAGTGTTAGTGTTGTTACACAATTTTACTGTTTTGGCACAAGAAAATAAGTAGATAAAGCATAAACACTATGCTTATGCTTAGTGGTATTAAGCACTTCTGCTACTTGCTGGTCTCTTAGACATTTAGGGGTGAATTAGAGGCAAATAAAAGTCAGGACTGTTGGCTGCAAAAAACATTATGGGACTGTAGGAAAGTTGGTCACACCCATAATGAACAAACATTTGACTAACTAAAATCATGCTAGGACACAGATGTTGCCGGACCAGAGACATTCAACCTGTACTTTTAAAAATCCAGTGCAATTAAATATACACAGATGCAAAATAGTTGGTAGTGTCCCTTTTAAGTGTCACACAGACAAAAGTTTTCTGCTGCAGTTTTTACTACTTTTTCCTTTAAGTTTGAGGATCATCACTATATGTTCAGAGGCCTACAGAAAAGAACGCGAGTAGACCTCTTGAGACTCAACCTTGCACGCACACACAAGTAATTTCAAACACGAGTACAGGCTCACTGAAATCAAAGACTCCACTCATGCAAGCAAGTTCTGTCAGGACAGCGGCCATAACTTGTTAATAAGGCCTGAGCACCTATATCAATTCATTTATACTTCTTGATTTTTCAATAATTTGTTTTTAAAAATACAATGGTATGAGAGAGGCATCTGTTTTTATCTCAGTGTTAAACTTCAGACGGCAAATCATCTTTGCCTGCAGAGGCGATAGCCATGATAAATCTGTTCAGTACTGCTTACTTTTGGTACAGCTGAAATCAAGACATCTGTGTACAAGAAAAATTAATGAGCCTGGTTCATCTACTATATATTTGAGAGAGTTTGTCTGTTTGTTCAAGAAATCCTCCTAAATGGTAAGAGCTAGGAACACCAAATTCCATACACCAGTGGTCCCCAAAGCAGTGCCTGCAGGCACCATGGCGCCCACCAGGGCATTTGTGCGCGCCCGCTAAGTGACTAGGGCAGGCCCAAGCCATTCTTGCATCCCGGGCGCACGGCGCATGAGTGGCCCCGCCCCCGGACACCCAGCAGCCCCAAAAGGTTGGGGACCACTGCCATACACAGCTTTCTCTTATAGTAACTTGAAGCTACATAAGAGTTTGATTGTGCCAGGAAAATGGGATATCTCTGGAATAGGACTGCTTCTCATAAAACCATACAGAAAAGACACAGAATCCACAGGCTGGTGAAAGGGACTGGCTGCAGCTGTCCTATCACCTCTGTCCGGGACTGCCTCAGCCCCAAAGCCTCCCACTTCCCAGGTGTCCTTTAGGGAAGGCGGTGGGGGGCTGAACATCCCAGATTCATACAGGAACATTGCTGGCTGTTGCCCCTCGCTCTTTGATGTAGGGGAAGTGCACCGTTTGCTGCATTCCTCACTCAGGCTGGGGAGTGCAGGCGGCAGACAAGCTATGCACTTTGCAAGCATCTCTGGTATGAATCTGGTGGGGGCAATTGGGCCCCCCCCCCATTTTTCCCTGTACACACCCCCACACAGAGTCCCCTGCCCAGAGCCCTTCTTCACCCCCCCAACCTTGACTCCTGTATCCCTGCAGTCCCAGCCCGCTGCCATGAGCCCCTCCTTAAGGACCCAAGCATCGTCAGGTAAATGTAAGAAACCCAGGAAGAATTAACTGAGGTGCCTATTAAAATGAAAGAGGCCATGTTAGAAATAACTCAGCTATGAGAAACATTCATATGACAAACCTTCCATTTCACTCCACCTGCTGGCCCATTTGTGTGTTCAAGTCAATCTGAGCTGAAATGTTAATACGAGTGTCAAATATTTAAATTGCTACAGCCCTGCAGTAGACACCTCTGCTCTAACCATATGCCTCCAATCATCCCTCAGAAATCCACCAGGTCTGGTGGTACTAGATCCTCTTAATTCCTCCTTCCCAGTTCTTTCCTTCTCTCTATCTGTATTTGGACTGATTCAATATATTCTAATAAACACTTCACCTAATTCGTCCTGTATTTCTCATGAAACATGCTCATCAGTTTTTTTCTTGATTTCATCTGTGCCAAAAGTAGTCAGCATTTATCATAGTGTCCACGACTTCAAGCAAAGATGATTTGCAATCCTAAGTTGAACTCCAGAATAAACACAAATGCATTGCAAAATAGGACAGTACTTATTTTCATTCTTTCTTGCAGGAAACTTTCAAAAACCAAACTGCAGAAGCCCCACAATAAACCAAAGTTAAGAGGAAAGACACAGTGCCAATCAACTTGCATATAAAGGAAGTCTCACCTCTGCTGCCATGAAAGCTAGTGTGTGCATTCCATGTGTATAGCCGATAACTCCACAGACAACTGCTAGACCACAACAGGAGAGTAACATGGCAGACAGCAGAGTCAGAACTCTGACGTGGCTGCTCATTGGTGTGGTGGGAGAGAAGGAAAGCTGCAACAGATTAATACAAAATAGTGTTAAACTGCTCCTCTCCCTGTTGCTTTCACACAGCAAATATTTATTGAATAATTATTTCCTGAATAACGATGCAACCCCAATCACCTAATTAAGCAACTATGTGGGTAGGGGGAAAGAAAAAAAATGTGCACACTAAGGTCTTGTGACGCTAGCTTTCATTTACATTAGATGGTGCTTGGTACTGCCATCAGTGTAGGGGACTGGACTTGATGACCTCTTGAGATTCCTTCCAGTTCTATGATTCTATAATTCACAGATTTTAAAGCCAGAAGGGACCATTGTGACCTTCTAGTGTGATGACCTCTATAACACAGGTCACAGAATCATATCCAGCAGTTCTACACCAAGCCTTAACTTCTGTATGAGCTAGAGGGTATATTTTAGAACGCCATCTAGTTTTGATTTAAGACATCAAGTAACAGAGGTTCCACTGCTCCCCTCAGTAAGTTGTTCCAATGACTAATTGTCCATTGCTGTTAAAAATTTGTGTCTTATTTCTCATTTGAATTTATGTAACTTTATCTTTCCATAATGAATATAATTATGCCTTTTTCTCCTAGATTTAAGAGCTATCAAGAATCTCTCCCTTGTCCTTGATCCTTTTGACTGAAAAATAGTTCCTTCATTTTATTTAAGATTATATATAATTTGACAGAAAATTCGTACATACTTTGCTTATACTAAATATAAAGTCATCTTAATTTAAGGTCAAAAGAATTAGGCAAAATATCTAGATCCATCTCCTCATCAAAAGTGGGAGTCAAAATTTGAGTCTGGGGCATTCGGTTGATTTCATGCATTCAGTTGTTAAATTAATTCCTCTTTTTCCCTTTGAGTTGGACTTAGCTTCATACTTCCCTTAATTCAGCAAGGGCAGACCACAGACATTTATCAAGAAAAGTGTTACAATCCAGACATCAATGTTTTCCTTCAGCAAGAAAAGTCCCAGCTCCTTTCCTAAGGATTCTGGATCAAACACAAGCATTTCTACTTTTATAGCCTGCTCTCTCTCAGCCTTCTAGAACAGTGTTTCTCAACCTTTTTTTTTAATAAAGTACCCCTTTATATTTTTTTAAATACCCTCCAGTACCTACAGTTTTCAGACATACACATTTTTTTTCTACCATTGCAACACATTTGTTTAAACAACATAATTGTAGCCAGGTGGCGATTAAATTTGTGTGTGTAAAAAGTACAAAAATAATAAAACACTGTAAAACTTAACACAAAAAAATTTAGTTCTCTCCAAATTTCAGTTTTGTTGATGTACCCCCCAGACTTCTCGAGTACCCCTAAGGGTACTCGTACCACTGGCTGAGAAACACTGTTCTAGAAGATAACTTCAGTAGACGAAAAAATGCTAAATAACCTTCCTATTAGGTGCACTGGAATAACTGTAAACCAGCAATTTCATTTCAGTTTAACTCACTCAAGGCTACTGCACTACTTGAACTGCTGGAAAGGCAACCTTTGCCAGGTTGTAAAACAGGAAAAAGTTGCAGAGTACAAGAGGTCATAAAATATGTAGTTAAGGGTGAACCAGGCTTTTATTCATGGACACTGGAGCTGAGGAAGCAGCACGTACATTATAGATACTCAAGTGGCTAAGGTTATTCAAAGTACTAGGTTGATTTTTCTAATCCCAATAATCATCCATTAAAAAAAAGAGAACTGAAGTGCTTGTAAAGTAACACATATCGGGTTAACGCACTAGCGTGTGAAAGCTTTACGTTTTGTAATGTACATTCTCTCTCTATTCATATGTCCAGCATAATAGACAGTTCTGGCCCAGTAGTGTGTGGAAGGGCCAATTTGTTTATTTAATTAAAACTGAACTGACACTTAATTCATTTTAAGATCCCCATTAAATGCGTGCTCCATTACATTGCTCACATTCATTGTTTCTCACTACTCCACTCTCTATATTCATTTAGAGCTATCTTAGCTCTTCATAATCTCATTGCTATTGGTGCAAAAGCCATGTTCTCTACAGCTCTCACCACCTGATACCCAAGCATCCCTCCATCTCTTTTCACTTGGCATTTGAAATCTCTCTGTACCTGAGCCTATTCATTATTCTTCTCCTTGGTGACTCTCTATTTAACTTTCTAAATACCGATACAGTTTGGGATGCAGTTTACAATGTTCAGTACCCATGAAGATGCATTCGTGCCATTAGTTCTTGACAGAGGCACAACACACAGCATGAACACTGCACAGACACTATACATGTGAAATGAAATCCAGTTTCTTTTGCTCTACTCTGTAATTTTACTTCAAGAAATCGAGAAAACCTTTCATACTACTGACAGAAAGAGGTTACCTGAATAACTGGACATCAACCAAAGGTGGTTTTCCAGAATTCTTAGCTAATGCAATTTCAGAAAGGACACTTTAAAAAAAAGTGTATCTACAGCAGTAATTCTAGGGAACCTTACATCTGAGCATTTTATGAAAGAGGATAAATATTTTTAACACATGAAAGAACAGAGGCACAGAGGTTAAGGTTATTCAGAGGTGCTAAGGATTACTAGCTCAGGTTGAAGTCAATGGGAGACATGGAGCTTCACATCTCTGAAAAACAAGCTTTAAGTGACACAATCAAGGACATACAGGGTACGTCTACACTGCAGCATTATTCCAGAAAAACAATACAAGCGTCCACATTCAATAGCGTTATTTCAACAAAAAGGTGAAATAATGGAGGGCTTTTTCCCAACAGCAGTAAAGCTCATTCTACCAGGAATAGCTTTTACCAAAAAAGCTTTTTCGGAAAAAGGTGTGTGTGGAGGCAGAAGAAGGAGTTCTGTCAAAAAAAGAGGCTTCCAGGAAATAACACAGGTGCCCTGCTGGCCACTCCATCCACACTCATCACAACTCTATAGTTCCTGTCCCCCAGCAGCTCTTAAAGCTGCAGACACTGGGGACAGGGCTTGTGGCAGGAAGCCGGTCCTGGGAGCTGCAACACACCATGCAAATGCCAGTTCCTGACATGTGGACACTAATGTCCCAGCCACAAGCCCCCCAAGAACCCATTGGCCCTCCCAGGGACCATGCACAGGGCTCCCAGGAGCCTGCCAGGGTCCGGACCATCTGCCATCATGGTCTGGGGCAGAGATCCTGGCCCTCCTGGGTTATGGGGCAAGGAAAAGACCCTCCAGGATCTCCGCTCCTGCCCTTACTACGCAGAATAGCACCGCATCCTAGGGGGCGGATGTCACGTTATTGGATTTTAAAGTGAGGAGACTGGAAGGGGGGAGACAAAGTGGGCCATGTCAAGTGTCAAACAAAAGCTTATGCTCTACTGATTCTATGTACACTACTCATGTGCTTGTATGAGGTTTGTATGTGGAGTTATGAATATGGGATGTGTGCTGGTGCTGTGAAGGTTCTCTGTCTGAGACAGAGCCGTGGGCCTGGACTGCCTGTTGTAAAGAAGAAATGTCTAGTGAATGACTATGCTAACTAGCACAGCCCGAGGAACTATGGCTTACAGAAGGGAGAATACACACCAGAGGACTGTGTCTGGAAACCTGCAGACCAGTCAATGCCATCATGTGACGAGCTCCAGCTTGGGAGACACCAGGAATGAATATAAAATGCCATGAGGTGGTCTCAATCCTGTCCTCAATCTTGCTACTGATCCCAGATGCAGCCTTGCTAGGGACAGAGAGCCGGGAAGGATTGCTGACCCATCCTGATATAGGATGTACACCAGAGACTTGTAAGATAGCAGTTTGTAACATCTCTGCTGAGAGCCTGCATCAAGCACTTGGTGACTGATGTATGTAATGTATTCTCCTTAATCTTACTTTCAACCTTTTCTTTCTTTTGTTAATAAACCTTTAGATTTTAAATTCTAAGAGTGCGGCCCAGGGTGCTCTTGTGGGTAAGATCTAAAGACCGGGAACTGTGGCTGGTTTTTTTGGACCAGGAGGATTTGTTCAGGGTTGGTGAGATTGGTTTCTAATATCCCTCACATGTATGTAGGCCCAGGGCTGATTGTGGCACAGGGAAAGCTGAGGTGTCTGAGGGGTTTTGCTCGTGAGGCTTCCTGCTGGCCAGCTTGGCAGCTGAAGCGCTCTGTGAGACTGGTTTGTGGCCTATTTGAGAAAGGTCTCCAGTCAAGGGCTGTAAATAGCTCTGGAGACGCCTGTCTTCACCCAGCTGGGGGTCCCAGCCCAGAAGGACAGGGAGCTGGAGGAGGAAGAGACAGCCAGCACAGTGACCACCATCACCTTTGAGCTGGTGCCCCAAGGCCTGAATGTCTCCCAGGCATGCTCTGATAATGGGGAGGGAACAGCAGGTGAATGCTCTTAGTTTTTCATACACACAGGGCAGGGGTGGTGAGCACTATGGGACTGTAGAATGATCATCGCTCTGCCTGGCCCTCACGCCAGTCTGTGCATGTGGATGCATGTGCAGCGCCAGTCTGCACCATGCAGCCCCAGGAAGCAGCCCTGAAGCACCCCAGGGCTTCACTCATAGGCTCTGTGGAGGCCAGACACACGTCTGACCGTCTGGGGGGGTATGCCCTCCCTCCACCAGCCACCTTTGGAAGGAGGCTGGGGACAAGGGCACACGCACACCGACTCTGGAGTGCCACACATGGGCATGCCTGAATGCTTGAGGCACCACCTGCTCCTGGGGACAACGCTGCCAAGCGCATATGTGTGCAGCCTCAATGGAAGCCCAAGCTCCCGGCCATGGGATCCCAATGTGGCTGGACACTTCACTTGCCTGCTTGTCCATGGGATGGGGGTAGAGGGGTGGGAAGCATAAACCCCTGGGGACCTCTGGACCCCTGTAAGGCAGGGCCTGCTGTCCAGGCCACACATGGCCTTGCTCCTGGGACATCACCGTCCTCTGCCCCAAGAACTGTTGCTCTCAGATTGCTGATGAGGACAAGGTCTCTAGGACAGTGTCTCCAGGGATGACTAACCACCTCTCTTTATTCTCCCCAGCTGGACCAGCCGTGACTGGGGGCGATCACCAGCATCTGAGCCAGCCGCAGACATCAGAGGGTGCATGTGTCCATCTTCACGGACAGGCAGCAGAAGCTGGCCCAAAAGGTAGGGGATGGCACACAATGGTGGGCCCAGATGTGGAGCAGGGCCACAATATCTTTTCCACCATCTGGAAGATGATGGTGTACCCAGCACCAGTCCTAGTCCCTGCTCCTCCTGCCATGCCAGCCCCTGCCAGGCAGCTCTCCCACTCCAGCCTCCCCACCTGCCAATCCCCCTGTTCTCCCAGGACCAGGGTCTCCGGACATGAGGTGGAACTACCACCCGAACCACGCATCTGTCTCAGCCCCAGCTCTGAGCCTCTCCTCTGCCCTCCAAGGTTCACAGTCCCCCCTCCCTCTTTCCCAGTTAATTTTTATCCCAAATAAAAAAGCAAGCAGTTATTTGTTTCCAAACTAAATAGTTTTTTTTAATTTTGTCTGCAGGGAAGTGAGGGGTTGTTGCGGGAAAGGCAGAGAGGGGCAAGGCACAGGCCCCTAGTGTGGAGGCCCTGGGGAGAGTTACTGAGGTCCTTCAGAGAAACTCTCCCTCAGGGCCTCCTGGATGTGCATTTGATGGGCCTGGCGGATAGTAGCTGTGCGTAGCTGCTTGAAGGCCCATCCCTCCCGACCAGCCTCTGCTCCCTACCTCAGAAGGAAGGCCTTCCCATTCCTCTCCACAATGTGGTAAGAATACAATAGGCTCACACTACCAGGGGGATGTTGTGCTCCCCCACACTGAGGCAGGTCAGAAGGCATCTGAACCATGCCTTCCAGTGCCCAAAGGCGCATTCCTTCTGGATGCGGGCCATTCCCAGGCAGGCATTGAAACGGTCCCTGCCAAGGTCCAGATCGCCAGTGTATGGCTTCATCAGCCACTGCAGAAAGGGGTAGGTCGCATTCCCCACGATGCACTGTGGCATTTCCACATCCCCAATCATGATGTTGCACTGCAGGAAGAATGTGTCAGCCTCCAGCTTCTGGTAGAGGCTGGAGTTGTAGAACATGTGGGTGTAACGCACCCTCCCCGAGCAGCCCACAAAAATGTCTGAGAATCATCCACAGTGGTCAACCAGGGCCTGCAGGACCATAGGGAAATATCCTTTCCTGTTTATGTTCTGGGTTGCACAGTGGTCAGGGGCATGGATGGGGATGTGAGTTCTATCTATCGCCTTCCCCCCACCCCGCCCACCTCCTGCAGTTGGGAAAGCCCAGGCCACATCTGGCCACGATGGGGTCCAGGTCTCCTGGGCGGATGACCCTGCGCAGCAGGACGATGTTTATGGTCCTCACCACCTGCAGAAGGAGACAAACAAAACAGAGAATCAAAAGGGGTACAAGGGCTCTTGGGAGGTCCCCCTCCCTTCCCCTTCTTACCTCCCAACAAACACCCTACCCCCTGCTAGGGATGTTAAGGACTAGTCGACTAGTTGCTTCCCCACACCTCTTGCTGCCTCTATCAAATAGAGGCAGCAAGGTGGGGGAAGAGGGAGGTACTTCAAAGCAGCAGTGCTGCACCGAACCTGGGATTAGCTGGAGTTCACAGCTGACCTCAGGCTTGGTGCAGCGCTGCCCCTCTGAAACGCCACGGCAGCCTTTCAAAGGGGCAGCGCTGTGCAGAGCCCCGCGTGAGCTGTGCGGCACTGCCCCTTTGAAATACTGCTGCAGCTTTTCAAAGGGGAAGTGCTTCCCTATCGACTAATCAAATAATCAACGCAAATATGCATTGATTATTCAATTAGCCAATTACATGATACTTAACATCCTTACCCCCAACAGCACCAACCCCCCCTTTCCCTAGGGTCCCCCTTTCCAGTTCTCCTCCACCCCTCTGGGGACTGGAGCTCGAGAGTGCCTTACCTCCATGAGGAGGGCCCCAACGATGGACTTTCCCACACCGATCTGGCTGCCCACAGACTAGTAGCTGTCAGGTGTTGCGAGCTTCCCAATGGCGCTGGCAACCCGCTTCACCAGGGGTGGTGGCAGGCTGCATCTGGGTATCACGTCAACTGAGGGCAGGGGCGAGCCAGGCACACAGCTCCATGAATGTCTTCTTCCTCATTTAGAAGTTTTGGAGCCTCTGCTGGTCATCCCACCGCTCCATGAAGCCCGCCTGCAGAAACTGCTGCATGGCAGTGTGGGGCTATCGCATGCCCAGAGGCAGCTCTGGCTCCATGCCAAGGAGTGCTGTGGTGTCCATACATAGTGCAACCAAAGCACGCAGTGGAAATGCTTTGCTGTCCCTCGGAGAGGTAGGCAAGCAAGCAGAAGAAGCTGAGAAACGGCAGTCCAGTGGGGTTTCTTTAAGTACGCATCTCAGATAGTGTCAGGCAGCAGCACCTGGAAGCAACTGCTGACCTAATGCCCTGCCTGAACGGATTCCGAATGGCCTTAAATGAGATGAATAAATCTTTCAAAGTAACACATTATTTCGTTGCTCTTTTTGTGTGTAGACGCTCTTTCGAAATGAGCTTTTCTGGAAGATCTCTTCCGGAAAAGTTTATTCCGAAATAAGCTTGCAGTGTAGACGTAGCCACAGTGAGCCAGTGCTGGCATTAGGAGCAGAACTCACATCTCCCAAACACACAGGGGAAAAAACTTACATATTCAAACCGATCCTTGCAGAGCTGAACCATGAGGTGGAGAAACACAAGCCCGGAGAACCAGAGGCACCACATGACCACCTCTTCCACTGTTTGAACATTCAGCACACCAAAAATGAAGATAAACTTGTAGAAGATGAAATTCCAGAATTTGTCCTTGAGATGCTAAAAAGAAAGATATTTGCTTTCTGTTGGTAGTCAAAATAGCTAAAAGCTCAAATACATAACATTTTAATTATGTTTATTAATTTTATTAATACAAAAAATCCTATAATTCTTTGCACTTATGCAGGTTCTTTATCTTAAAGTCATGACATGCCACAATGCACCACTGAGACAGAAATGTATCTGTATTTCACAAGATGGAAACCTGCTACACAGCAAATCAGTGGCAGAATGGGGAGTAGAAAACTACTAAATAATGAAGAGAGTAAAAGGACAGTCCCTGTTCCAGGGAGCTATGGTCTCTGTTTAGCTAAGGATCAAAAGATGAGTGCAAAAGATAACAGGCAAAAGTAAAAGAGGGAAGTGAAGGAAACAGAAGTATGAAAATGTGATATCATTGGCCAGCTATGCACACAGCTCGATGGGACATCTGTATTATTTCCTAAATGATAGCCTAAGAATAACATGAAATAAGAAATATTGGAAATTCCTGTCATCAGGGTGGGTGGATTTAAATAATCAATTTGAATCATGATTTAATCAAGACTCAATTTGTACTTGTTAGTATTTGTCTAAAGAAAGTTGATTCTCTTTGGTTGGTAACCATTAAAATATGTTTATTTGCAAACAAATATAGCCTTTACATTAAATGTAATGCTTCTGTTTGCTAACCAGAAAGATGCACTATAAAAAATATTTATTCAAGCAAGTAAGTAGGTTAACTCACACTTATCCAGATTAAAAACAAGTGGTCCTGTAGCACCTAAGAGTATGTCTACACTGCCACCCTAGTTCGAACTAGGTGGCTAATGTAGGCATTCGAAGTTGCAAATGAAGCCCGGGATTTAAATATCCCGGGCTTCATTTGCATCTTGCCGGGCGCCGCCATTTTTAAATCCCCCTTAGTGTGGACTCCGTGCCAGCGGCTACACGCGGCACGGAATAGGTAGTTGGAATTAGGCTCTCTAATTCGAACTACCGTTACTCCTCGTGGAACGAGGTGTACCGGTAGTTCAAATTAGAGATCCTAATTCAAACTACCCAAGAGGTGATCAGTGCGGGTTGCTAGGGGCTAAGACTCCTGTAACGCCAGGAGTTCATGAGTAGTGAGCATAGCCACTTATGCTCCCTTTCAGCCACACTGTAAAATCAAAGCTGTGAACAACACATGTCAAAATAAATTTGAAATCATGTTTTTCTATAAGAGATGCAAGAAAAGGATTCAATTCAATTGAGATCATCTTGCCATGTTTATATTTGTTAAGGGTACGTCTATAATTGCACCTTAGTTCGAACTAGGGATGCAAATGTAGGCTACCAAAATTGCTAATGAAGCGGGGATTTAAATATTCCACGCTTCATTAGCATGATCTCGCGTACTCCGCTCAACAGCTGTTTCGAAAGTGAAAGTGCACGCCGGGACGTGTTAGTTCAAACCAAATCCTTTGGTTCGAACTAATGTTACTCCTCAAAAAATAAGGAGTAACGTTAGTTCGAACCAAGGGGTTTGGTTCAAACTAACGCGTCCCAGCGCGCACTTTCACTTTCGAAACAGCTGTTGAGCGGAGTAACGCACCGGCGAGATCATGCTAATGAAGCGCGGGATATGTAAATCCCCGCTTCATTAGCAATTTTGGTAGCCTACATTTGCATCGTTAGTTTGAACTAGGGAGCAAATGTAGACGTACCCTAAGGTGCTACAGGACTACTCATTGTTTTTGAAGTTACAAACTAACACAGCTACCCCCTGAGACTTATCCAAATTGTTTAAAAATGTAAAAATTATTATATTAGAAAATTGTGATACTTTTAACTTGGGATTTGTGTCAAGCTCTATTTGGATGAAAATTAAAAATTAAAATAAAAAATGCACAAAACCAACATTTTTTTTATTAACTAAAACTACCTTAAGTGTTCTGGATACATAAGATACAAGATTATCAAAACATGTTTTACATGTAAACCTGTTTTACTGAAACTCGCTCTCACTCTCTCTCTCTCTCTCCTTTAATTAGCAAAATGGAACTGATTGTTTCTGGTCACAATATCCTTCAAGATTTTAGAATTAGTAAATCTCATCCTCTCACACTTCATTTTTGTTCATAGACTGGAAGAACACACACTTTCCTGTGTTTCCAATAACCTCATTAATTTCTTAACTTTGAATGAATTTGAATAAATTGAAATGGAAGAAAATATTCTCTCTACACTTGCAAAAGAGGCTGCTACTGTCAGTCAAAAGTTGATTTAACACATCAACAAACTGGTTCCAGACATTTAGCCAGTCTCTTCCACCAGCTTAATGGTTTGACTTTAAAAAAAAAAAAAAACTTGTGACAAGCATGTTCTAATATATTTAGGCCTTAACATAGGTTGAGGGATGTTAATGGTTAACCAGTGGGGGCTGGAGAAGCTTCCCTACTCACTGCAGGCAGGGGGTTGCTTCAGCCCTGTGGGGCCTGTTGCAGGCAAAGAGTGTTCCAGAGCAGCCCCTGACGTGCTATGAGCAGGCGCACTCCAGCCTGCCTGCCCTATTTAATCAGTTAAACTTAACGTTTAACTAGTTAATTCATTAAACAGGATTTTACATCTCTAAGTGTTGTCATTTTTTTTATTTTAAAACATCCTTTTTCATCCATATTATCTGCCATCTATTTAGCCTCAACTAGGTACCACTTTCACTTATGGAGTATTGATAAAGTGATGTTCCTTTGGTACCACTTCAACACGGCAGTAAAGCATTGTAGGTAAATGTTTTTCTACTATGCATTTATACAGTGCCCAGTATAATGGGGCCCTGATCTCAATGGGATCCTCAGTATCATAGCAATGTGGCTGTAAGGCTACCAAAACAGTACTGCCATTTTCGTTTCTGAAAATGATTGCTGGCATATACATTATTAAATCTTCCTTCTGCCATTAAATTACAGGAAATTAAGTTACAAAAATCTAGCCCTCTAAAAATACTCAATGTATAAGATGTTTGGCCTCCAACATAATGGCTATATGCAAGAAGGGAGTAGATGAGCAACAGTGAGATAGAAAAACATTCCCTCGCACATGCAAACAGAAAGGAAGACCATATGCTGGTTAGTTACTGCAAGAGTAAAGTTACCATACAATTTGCAGGGTGTTGGGAGGTTTTATGGGAGGGAGGCAAAAAAAGTTGTATCAAACTGTCTTTATAAAAATACAAAGTTACCAGGCAAGACAGCTAGAACAGGCTAATAATTCCTTCAGGATGATCACACTTTTGACCTACCAACATATATAGCCTGCCTTTCAAAAGAAACTATCAAAGTAGATTTCAAATTCTCAAGGGACAATGAACACTCCAGAATCTGGTACTGACGCTGCACTGAATTCCACAACCATGAACAACCGAAAAAAATCTCAAAGTCCTGAGAGAGTAGCTCAATTTTCAAGTATAGGCTCTGCATTCAGAGGCTTTTAGGTTTGTGAATTAGCAATATGATAGACCGCAAGAAATCTATGAATAAGTACGAACAAGTGCCCCATTTGCACTGCATGCCTGTTGCATTAAAAACATCTGCAGTTCAATTTTTTTAATGACTGTATGTGTGTGTGCATGCACTTGCATGCATGTGTATAAAAAGAGAAATATTTTGAAAGGATACAGTCAATTTGATTTTTGAAAAATAATTTTCAAAATAACTCAATTTCCTGACAGCATAGATTTTAAAGTGTATGTCCTGAAATCTTCTTACAAATATTTTTCTGCTTCCCTGCTGATGTTCAGAAAAGGGGCAAGCCTAATGCCAGTAATAAATGGGCTTCGGCTCAGCTCTCCTGCCCTCTCTGTCTATCTACTGTCATTGAGAAGACACATTCTCTTTGTGAAGAAACTGAAAGTGCATGAGAGTTCCGTTATCATGCCAGAGCTTGAAGAAAGAATTAACTGCTCAATTAAGTTTAACTAACTATGTAAAAAAGCACTATCAAATGCACAAAGTAAACTAAAACCCAAAACATAGAACTGTTTTCCTCTACCGTAATTTACTTTAACATTAAGAGAACTTGCAAGCACAGGAACAAAATGTATTACAGGAGTGTAGTTCCCTAGTTGACAGGAGTCCTTTGAATATAAAATACCAGTTCACAAAAATTAAAGTTCCTCTTCAGAAACAAACCAGAAAATTTATGGATGCTTAGGTATGACCTGTCACAGGATTATTGGTTTTTGAACTTCCGTATGTTGTACTGGATGTGCATTTCCAAAACATGAAAAAGGGATATCTTCAAATCATAGACAAATCACCTTCTAAGCTTGCAGTTAAAAAAGAAGTAATTTTGATGGAAATATGGGCAACATTTATCTTATGATTTACAGCATTAAAAAAAAGTAAGAGCAACATTTGTACTTTTTAAAAAGTTAGGATGCTAAATGTTTATCTCCACAACCGTCAACATTCCCAAACCGGATATTAAAATCATTTACAGTATCTAGAAAAAAACCCAAAAACTTGCGAAGGGAATCAAGAGACAGATCAACAAGTATGTGATAGCAGACAATTCATCTAGAAACATCATACATTTTACTTACCTGCCTCTCGCTAACACGAAGAGGACCAAATACTGCACACTGGATTATTTTAGCAATCAGCATCAGAAAACAGCAGGCAGTATTTACCAGTACCTAAAAAGAAATCAAATGTGTTTTAGTCCTGTTCATAAAAGAGGGCACTATCCTTTGCCCCTGGTTATTATGCAGTTTCAAGTAACCTATAGAGGTATCCCTTCTTAAAACCTAACTTCTAGGGAATGTACAGTGGCACACATGTCAATATTTTTTATTTGTGGAAAAACTGATGTCAGTCTAAGAAAGAGACATTATGATCAACAACATCATTACTGATAACCAAACTACCACCCCTAAATTTGCAAGGAAAATGATTTCTTTACCTTTATTAATATCATCTATTATTAAACATGAACTTCATCAATTTGACTTTCTTTTTACTATTTATTCAGTTTACTTATCAGTCTAAGTTTAGATGATAAAAGTGACTAGTCAGATTCATTTTTGTTTCTGGTAAATTTTACTTTCTGTTTCCACTAGCTTTAAATTTAGCAATGGCTCAAGTACTCAGCTTATCAGGTCAGCGGAATTCAAAAATGATTAATAAGTTGTTCAAAATATTTTTTAAACGAAACACCTAGTTTTGATTAGTAATCGTCATTTAACTTGACAGGTTTAACAAATGTAAGGAAGACCTTTTAAACTGTATCAGATTTAGTAGTAAGTACAAATCAATATGAACAGCTTCTAGAATAAAGTTCATAAACTTTAACATTTAAAAATATAGTACTTAAATGGGACATTGTCAATTTAAAAATCACATATTCAGCAAATAAAGTTATCCTAGTATAAACACCTCAACAAATTATTCAGTTATTTTAAAAATCATTTACTTTTCCCTGTTTACACTCTGACTTCTTGTTTTTCTCCCAGCACAGACAATAATAATCAAGTCAGTCACATTTGCTTATAGTCACTGTCATTTCCAAGTTCTTAAACTTTCTATATATTTTAGAAGTGTGCATCTGTCTGTCCACCTGTGACTGTTCAAGAACTCCTCCTAAACAGTGATAGAGATGCAGCTGTGTTACTCTAATTATCTCATCCATTACAAAGACAGCTTCCCCAATTATCACCCCAATGTCATTACCTCACATAAACTTCCCCTATTATCACCCCTGTCATTACCTCACAGACACTAACCTTCCCCCCTCACCTCCTCTCTGTTCTAAAATTTTATTTGTCAATTTCACATGTGTTCATTTTTTTGAATGTATCACTTTGGTATATGTGGTTGTGCAGATTTTCTTCCACATACTGATCTGAGGACGCGGGTCTGGCGCACGAAAGCTCATCACCTAATAAACCATCTTGTTAGTCTTTAAAGTGCTACATAGTCCTGTCTTTTGTTCCTCCTAAACAGTAAGAGCTAGGACCACCAAATGTGGTATGTAGCTTTCTCTAACAAAGCAGGTCAAGGTTTGTTGTGCCAGGAAAGTAGAAAGTGCTGGAATGGGACTGTTTCCAATAACATGGAAAGGGAAGGGGCACAGAGAAAAGGGTGTGATACTGCAAGTGGCTACTAGACACAGTGAGTGTAGGGTAAAGCTGTACTGCAGACTGACCACTGGGGCAGCCGCACCGCTAAGAGTGGCCAACAAGGCTGGGACTCCATCATTTAGCCTGCCACCATCATTTATCTTGCCACCAGATCAGGTAAGTAGCCCCTCTGCCCCAAACTCTTTTTTCCAGGGCCCTTGGCCACAG